TATTTTTAAAAAAAGAAAAACTCAGTGAATCAAAAACAAAGCAAACAACAGTCAAAACAGTGGAAATTATCACCAATAGACTGAACCCAGCAAAAAAAAAGAACATCAGGGATGGAGAACAAAGTCAAGGAAATGTTACATTTGAACATCAGTAAAGAAAAGTAGTAGATAAGCATGACCACAGTGCCCAAGAACTCTAGAATACAATCAAGAGACCAAACCTAAGAATCCTAAGAAGGGGCCACAATAAAAACTACAAGCAGGGGGAATCTTTTCAGTGAAATTGTAGCAGAAATTTTCCCAGTTCTAGAGAGCAAAATGGACATAAAAACATGAAGTATTAAAATTTCAGTAGAGATAACCAGAGAACAACTCTATGATATACTATACTCTGGATGTCAAAAGTGCAAAGCAAAAAAAAAAACACTAAAAACTGTAAAGGGAAGGCACCAACATGTCAACAGAAGCAAACAGGATAGCATCTGGGCTCTCATCAGCAACTCTAAAAACTAGGAACAATACATTTCAAGCCCTGAAAGTAAATAACTGTCAGCCTAGATTTCTATACCTATCCAGCAAAGCAATTTTAAAATTTGCAGAAAAATAAGGATGTTTCAAGACAAGGAAAACTTAAGATAGTTCCTAACCACCAAACCAGGAACACACAATCTAAAAACTACCATACCCAGAGTAGGAAGAAAGTCTCAATAATTAGAACACGGGAAACAGTAAACTTTATGAGAGGAATAGATGAACAATTAGGAAGGAGTCCATTATGTCCAACAGAGCAAACCAGGAAACCTCTAATACTAATAGGGGAGAAAGAATAATCCAGTGAACTGGAAAAACAAAATTACAGGAATTAGTAAATATCACTCAGTAATAACCTTAAGTATAAATGGCATAACCTTACCAACAAAGAGACACAAACTCTAGCTGATGATTGGATTAAAAAATAGTCATCATCTCCACAAAACACCCCTCACTGGCAAAGACAACCAGAGACTAAGGCAAAGGATGGAAGCCAATCTGTGGAACAAATGGAAACAGAAAACAAGGTTGTCATACTGATGACAACCTGATCCAGGAGATTCAAACCAAATTAGTCACATAAAGGTAGCTACTAAAATTAATAAAAGAAACAATTACTCAAGAAGATGTAACAACATATATGTTTAAATGGATCAAAGACCTTAAACACAAGGGCAGAAACTTTGAAACTGCTAAAAGAAAACACAAACAAAACACTCCAAATTATAAACCTAGATGAGACTTTCCTGAGAAGGGCTCCAAGTTTACCAGATGGTTTGCATGAAATTAAAAAGCTTTTGCATAGCAAAGGGAACAATCAGCAGAGTGAAGAAACATGTTACACAAAGGGAGAATGTCGTTACTAACAATATATCCAACAGAAATATTATCTAGAATCTGCAAAGAACTCCAAAAATAAAACACCAAAAAAAGTCTTCTCAATAAATAGACTAATGAACTTAATAGACAGTTTTCAAAGAAGAAATGCAAATGGCCATTAAATGTTTGAAAAAGGAGGGATGGAGAGATGGCACAGCAATTAAGAGCCCTGGCTGCTCTTGCAGAGGACCCAGGCTAAGTTCCCAGCACCCACATGGCAGCTAACAACTGTCTGAAACTCCAGTTCCAAGGGATCCAACGCCCTGTTTTGACCTCCACAGGCATTGAATAACAAGGATACAGTTACATATATGCAAACAGTACACTCATACATATTAAATAAAATAAAAAATAATAAAATATTTTTTAACTTGAAAAGTATTCAGGATTTTCAGCTGTCTTGGAAATACAAGTTAAATCTATATTGAGATCCATTGTACCCACTCAGAATGGCTATAGTCATGAAAAACAGTTCAGATAAGGAAGTGGGAAAAAAGGGACCTTTAATGCACTTCTGGCAGGAATGTGCTTTTGTGCATCTAATATGGAAAGAGCATGGAGGTTCCTTAAAATTCTGAAAATAAAACTAGTATTTGATCCAGCTATTCCAGTCCAGGTATTCTATGTCAGTGTACCACAGAGGTACCTGGACATCAGTGTTTATTGCTATACTATTCATAGTAACTAAAATATGGAACTGGCCTTAAGGTCCATCAGCAGAAGAATGGATAAAGAAAATGTGATACTTATACTGTATTTCAGCTGTATTTCATCCAGCTGTAAAGAGGGATGAAATTATGACATGTGGGAAAATGGATGGAACTGAATATTGTTTTATAATATTTTATTTATTATTTTTATTTATTTTGTGTGTATGCTTGTAATGCCTACATGTATGTAAGTGTACCTGTGTCATGCCTATGGAGGTCAGAAGAAAGTATCGGATTCCTCTGGAACTGGAGTTATGGACAGTTGTTAGCCACAATGTGGGTGCTGGGAATGAAACCCAGGACCTCTGCAAGAACAGCCAGTACTCTTAACCACTGAGCCATCTCTCCAGCCCTGGAACTGAGTATTGTTAAGCTTTAAACAAAGCTCAGAACAACAAATGCTGTATTTTTCTCGTATGCAAAATCTGGCTTTAAATGTATATGTGTGTGTGTTTGTGTGTGTGTGAATGACTTGAAATTAGAAATGAAACTATTAAAGAAGAAGCGATCTAAAGGAGGAGAGGTGGGGATAAGACAGTGGAGGGACTGGAGAGATGGCTCAGCAGTTAAGAGCACTGACTGCTCTTGCAGAGGACCCGGGTTCAATTCGCAGCACCCACATGGTGGCTGCGAACCATCCTTAACTCCAGTTCCAGGGGAATCCGAAGCCCTCTTCTGACCTCCGTGGCATTGCACAACATGGGTGCCCTCACATACATGCAGGCAATACATTCATACACATAAAATAAAAATGATAAATAAAAATTTTTTTTTAAAAAAGAAGTGGAATATATGTGGCCTGAAAGCAAAAGGAAGAGGCTTTTGTGGTGAGGGGAGGAGACCAGAGAGAGGAAAGTGAGGAGAGCAGAGGGAGCAAATGCCATCAAAATCTGGTGATATATGAAAGTGTCACAATGAAACCCTGTTATTTTGTATACCCACTAAACCCAACTTAATAAAATAAGGTCATTATTTGACCTATTTTATTAAGCAGAGAAAAAAATGGTAAAGAAAACAGTCAAAAATTTATTAACTTAAGCCTGTCTGTTCATTAGCTCTTCCTTAAGATTTGTGGGACTTCAGGTGTCCCTCAGTTCATAGAGCTAGCATAGCATACACATAGCATAGCATACACAAAACCCTGGGTTTGACCCTAGGTCGGCATAAAATAGGTATGGTGGTGCAGCTACATACTCAGGATGTAGAGGCAGGAGGATCAAAAGTTCAAGGTCACCCTTACTTCATAGTAAGTTTGAGACCAGCCTAGGCTAGAGACCTTCTCTCAAAAAATAATACTAACAATTGCTCATCAGCTCAAAGAAAAAAGCAAAATTTTCGAACATGAGCAACTAGAAAAACGGTGATGTAATTTACTAAGGGAAACCCAGAAAGGAACAAATCCAAAGAGAGAAAAACAAAGGTTTCTGCTTGTTGGGACAAGATTGACCTGCCTATTTATCACCTGAGTTGAGGTGTCAGGTAGGCAGTTGGATAAATTAGTTTGAAGGGTTAGGATAGAGATCTAGAAATGAGTCACTAGCATATAGAATAAATTTTAAGCTTTGGGCCTACATAATATGACATAGAAAGTGAATGTAGATAAGGAAGAGATGGTAACCAGTGACAGCATTGGGAAACTCCAAAATTCAGGGCTCAGGAAGAATAAGAAGAGCCAGTGAAGAAAGCGGATAGCCAGTGGGGCAGAAGGAAAACTGAGATCATTTGATCTTCCCAAAACTAAGAGTAGAAACTCTGAAGAAAAGGGGAGGGCAATTTAGTGGCTAGATAGAGGTTTTGTTTTATGATTGAGTAACTAATTGCATAGATAGTGTATTCCTGACTCAAAAGTCAAAAAGATTTAAGTGCGTTTTTTTCTCTCCTGTGCCCCAGCCACCCTGGCCTTTCATCAAAGGCTATAAATTTGTTCAAAGATGCTTTATGCATATACAAACAAATGCGGGTATATTGATGCTCATCTTGAAAGACTTTTTAATGATGGCAGATATTAAATCATTTGAATATTAATGATAATGTCCCATTAGTTAAAAAAATGTGAAGTAGACATAATAGACTATGATGTCTTCAGAAAAGCTTTTAGAATATTCCCTTCTTGACAATATATACCAGTCCCTCTGGTGGAAGTATACAGATAGCAACCACATCCTTGCCCTCAAGAAATTTCTGTGTGATATACAGACTGCACACTTGTGAACAGACAGACTGAAGTGTTAGCGCAGTAATACAGACATACAGGATTACAAAGGCAGCACAGAGCTAGTAAACCTAGGAGCCAGAGAAGAAAGTCTGGTAGAGAAAAAGAAGAGCTGCTAAGTGCAGTGCGCGCGCAGGTTCCACACAGCAGCACAGGGGCTGTACTCCACACTCAGCAGAGCTATGGCTGCTTCCATGTCCTTGTGGTACCGTGCAGAGGTAGGAAGATGCCACAGACCCTCAAAGCTGAATTCTAATGTGGAGTTCATACTTACAGTTTTGAGGTTGTATATTGTAAATGTCAGACTAGATTGAGTCCAGCTTGTTTAAAGAAAAGTATTAGAGTGTCCAAAAGAATCTGTTGGAATATCTGATTCACTATTTAGATAGCTCTTTATATTCAAGATTGAAATGATATCAATTGAAATAGCTCAGTCATATTTTAACACAGTTTCTTGGTATTTAATATACACTGAACCTCATGCTTCAGAAGTAACAGTTTTCTTTACCTCTGCTACTGGCCAGTCAGGCAGCATTTGTGTGGGCCCTGTTACTTCTCTCTGTATGAAGTGTATACTTCTCATGTGTCATACTGCTGTGTGATTAAGTCCTTTATACCCTCATGAACGTGATCATTTTAACTGTGGGCTATGCATCGATTATTCATAGGGACTAAAGGAGACATTCCAAATTTTGGCATAATAGAATACTGGTTCCGATTAAGAGTTCCCATGGATCAAGCAATTCGACTTTATAGAGAACGGGCAAAGGCATTGGGATACATAACATCAAATTTTAAGAAACCAGAGAAAATGCAATGGGTAAGCTTGTTTGGTGGTAAGCCTCTTTCATTTAAAAAAATTGTATTTCCTTAGATTTAATGCTATAAACTAAGATTGTTTCCTTTCACAGCCATCAAGTGGCCTTTTTAACTTTTTATTTTAGGCTAGTCAGTCGCAGGGAGTAGCAACAGCAGTAGAGAGTTGGCCTCTGTATGCTTTACCTACTTCCTTCTAGTTGTAACACCTTATAAAGCTATAACATAATACTGAAAGCAGGAAACTAAGCTGGGATGGGGTGACTAGTATCCCATCTACTCAGGAGCCTGATGCCCAATGAATACAGCCTAAGCAACTTAGCAAGACCCTGCATCAAAATACACATTTTTTTAAAAGGGCTAAGGATATAGTTCAGTGGTAGAGTGCTTACCTGGCATGTACAAAACCCTGGGTTCACTCCCTACTACTGAAAAACAAAGCAAAATAAAACAGGAAATTGATGTTGTACAGTATTAACTAATCTACCTACCTTATGCAGATTTCATCAGTTTTTACATACAGTCATTTGTATGTATGTATGCTTGTGTGGGCATTCACTCGATGCAGTTTTTTCACCTGTATAGATTCATGTACCATCCTGAGATGCAGAACTGTTCCAGCGATACAAAGGAATTCCCTTGTGCTGTCCAGGACACTTTCAGAAAATAACTGTACTACTGTTACCACATATCAAGAGTCTTTGATTAACCATCCCTGCTCTTGAGGAAATGACTATTCTTGGATTGTCATTTGCTGTGCTTCTTTTAGGCCATTTCCTCCCATTCAGTTTTTGAAATGCAAAGTAGACTACAAAATGAATATTTTCTTGCTGAGAACTTGGAATTTAAATCCAACTCCAGGATTCAGTAAATGTAGAAAGCACAGAATTGAGCAGTTAGATAACATTCTGGACTTTATGACCTCATGTGTATAACCTGAGTATGAAAAGCCATAAAGTCTACACTTATGTTGAGTAACAAAGGAAGAGAATATGGTAGGAATATTTTAGAATGGCTGCTCAAGTCATAATCATCCTTCCTTTTTTTCTTTATAACTGCCCTTACCCCAACCCATGGGGCCTGGACCCCAGTGACTAGTTTTATGTTAGATGATCTCATTTCCTCCCACCATCCACCCAATTAGAATTGTTCAGGAATATCCACTTGGCCCCAACATGGCCAGGAAGATTCTGCCTTCTGAGCAAGAGAAAGCAAGACTCTTCATGCCTGAGACATATAAAATCGGGAGCTATTGGCAGCCATCTTCTACCAGCAAAAAGAAAGACAGTCTAAGGAGATAATAATGAGCCAGAATTCAGAGAAAAATGGAGACTGGACAGACAAAGTTCTGGTGCTTTTCCAAGCCTACCACCTTCCTAAAGCCCACTATACTTCCATTATACAGAGCATGAAATATCCCATAATGTTACATGAAACTTTTTTATTTTTGCTGAGTTTTCTGTAACTTTCACTTAAGAACCATGACTAATAAAACATTAATTCTCAAACTTAAGAAAGAATGCCACCTGATTCCCAGAGATCATCCTTCTGATTAGTATTCTTCACAACACACTTTGGTAGAAGCTGTTATGGAAATGGGAATTAGAAATAAAGATATCAAATTATTTGCTTGATTTTCTAGTGTAATGAATTGATTTGGGGAGATAAGTAGAGAGGGGCACTTTTAAACATGTTCCACTGAGCCTTCTTTAGTTGATTGCAAACTAGCTCTGGGAAAGCAGTGCTGTGGTTCCTGCTCAGGTTTCCCACTCCATACCACAAGAGGTCTCCACTAATGATGTTGTGACTAACTCTAGTTTTCCTTCTTTAATAAACTTCTCTTGAATTCATGGGTCCCAAATGCTTCCTCCAGGCAAGGTAGAAAATTCTCCAGCACCAAACTGAACAAGGTACTGGAACACGAGCATTTTCTTTGTTCCAGATTGTATCAGCTGTGAAAGATTCACCATTTACTACAGATGTTTTCTAATATCTAGTGTGCTTACCATCTTCCCCCAAAGGGACCTTAGAATAGTTTTCAGCTCACCTGATAACCCCTTTGCTCATCTTCCTCCTGGAATGTCCTCCCAATCCTAGCTTTTGATCCTATTCTGTTGCTCTTAACAGCAGCTGGACTTTCATGTGCTGGCTGAACTTGGCCACAGATAACTGCTTCTTCAAATCTGTGGTGGTTTGAATGAAAATGTCCCCCATAGGCTCCAAGTGTTTGGACATTTTGTCCCCAGATGATGGCATTGTTTTGGGAGGTTTTGGAAGGTGTGCCTATCCTGGAGGAAGCCCCGTCACTGGGGGTGGACTTACAGAGTTCTTAAGCCTTGCCAGATCTCTAGTCAGTCTCTTGTTTCCTGTGCCTGCTGGAAGATGTAGAACTTAGCTTCCACTCCTCTTCTCCAGCCACCTCTGCCACCATGCCTCCCCACCAAGATGGACTGTAATTCACCTGGAACTATAAGCTCAAATAAGCTCTTCTTTTTATAAATTGCTTGGGTCAGTGTTTCTATCATAGCAATAGAAAAGTGACTAATACAAAACCACAATTCTGGGTGAGCAGATATCTCTCCTTTAGAATGTTCTTCAGATTCATCCCTGCCTTGGCTCTTCAGTTATTAAATACAATTAAAGAGCAACACATTAACTTCTTTCTTGGTTTTATTTGCTCTTGGCACCAATTTCTGCAAATATCCTTGGTCTTCCATGTTTGCTACCAGTAGCACAGGATTATGTATTCTCACATGTCCTAGGAGTTTGGACATATTGTTTTAAGCATATTAGTTTTGAATAAGAATTTTGCTGAGAAAATAACTTTTAAATGAAAGCATGCAGTTTTTGTCCATTTACAAAATTTTGTTGGGGGATTAGCAGCTAATATTTATCTTTTAATTGTATTATTTCTATAATATAAATATGTGTGTTTTTCCAGTTAAGTCACCAAGCACCCAAAACTGCTGAACCCAATTCAACAGATTCCACAGATGGCAACCTAAATGAACTTCATATTACAGTAAGATGTTGCAGCAACCTGCAATCCCGAACAAGCCACCTGCAGCCACACGCATATGTTGTGTACAAGTTTTTTGATTTTGCAGACCATGATACAGCCATCATTCCCAGTAGCAATGATCCACAGTTTGATGACCATATGTGTTTCCCAGTGCCAATGAATATGGATTTGGATCTATACCTTAAGTCAGAGTCTCTGAGTTTTTATGTTTTTGATGATAGTGATACCCAGGAGAATATTTACATAGGAAAAGTGAATGTGCCCCTGATTTCACTGGCACATGACAGGTGTATCTCAGGTAAGCCTATGTTCTTGATTCTACAGTTGTAAAATCAAACCTAAATTATATCCTAGTTCACTTATAGTATGATTTCTTAGTAAATAATTTTCCTAACCTCAGTTTTTGAAATTTAGGCCTATAATACTGTTTATATTTTTAATTATTTCCTTGCTAGGAGTTGTAGCATTCCAATGTTCAAGGGATTGTAATATGCACTTTCTAGTCTACTTAAAAGTAATACTAACTTCCATTAAAACATAAAAAGTTTAATATTTTTTCATTCTTTCTCCCTCCTTTGTACTGCTATTGCCATATATATGCATATGATATGCCTAGACTTCTGACATTTTACTAGTGCATATTAATTGCACAAAACAGTGGATTGTATTATGACATTTTCATACATATATATAACATGCTGTGGTCATATTTGTCTCCCATTCCCATTGCTCTCTTTCCTCCCTCCCTCCCCCCTTTGCCTATGTATATTACAAACACAGCAATACAATCTTCTAATAATTACTTTAGATAATACAATCATTTCTTTAATGAAGTTATGGGAGAAATATGTAATTATAGGGGATCCTGATATTTACCTACATCTTTACTCTTTCTCATATCTATTTCTTCCTCACTCTGACTTTCTTCCTTGCTCTGATGTTACTTTCTTACTCCACATAGCTCTATCTTACTCCATTCCTTATGCTAGTGTGTTATGAGCCCAATAATATAATTTTACAAGTGTTGGTTTATATAATTATATTTTACATCAGTTAAGAGGAAAAAAGAAAACTATATATTTGCATTGTCTTTTATAATTACCTATGCATTTATGTACCTTTCTGGTCCCTATTCAGATATATGGATTTAATGTCTTGTGTCTTTTTCTTTCAGTCTGAAGAAAACTTCCTATAGAATATGTGTTGTAAGTCTTGTCTGCTGCTAGTGAATTGTCTCAGTAATTGTTACACAGGAATATTCTCTTTTTTACTTTTATTTTTTGATGAATATTCCTGAGAGTTATTTTTTTACTATATTTTGGTTTTCAGGGTTGTTAGGTTTTTTTTTTTTCCCCTTCTAGCATGCTTAGTCCATCAAACTACTGGCTATTGGGATCCATTGTTTCTAAGACACCACCTAATGACTTTATTGTGAGTCTCATGTGCTGTTTTCAGGATTTTATTTGAAGTTTTACATAGTTTTATGTGCCTAGAAGTGGATCCTCTTTTATTTATTCTACTTGGAATTCACTGAGGTGTAGGTGTAAAATAATGTTAAATAGGTTGTAGTGTAATGTTATGTAGGTGTACTATACTGTTATATAGTTGTAGTATAATGTTGTGTAGGTGTAGTGTGATGTTGTGTAAGTGTAATGTTATATAGGTGTAAGGTATTGTTATATGGCATAGTGTGATGTTGTGTAGGTGTAGTGTGATATGTAGGTATAATGTTAAGTAGGTGTAGTTTAATGTTGTGTAGGTACAATGTAATGTTATGTAGGTGTAATGTGATGTTGAGTAGATGTAGTATGATGTGTAGGTGTAGTGTGATGTTGTGTAGGTGTAGTGTGATGTTCTGTCGGTGTAGTGTGATGCATAGGTATAATTTAGGTGGGTGTAGTGTAATGCTATGTAGGTGTAGTGGAATGTTACCTAGGTGTAATGTTACGTAGGTGTAGTATAATGTTATGGTGTGGTGGAATGTGATATGCCATATTTAGACAGTGAGCTATCATTTCTTCAGTTATTTGTTTCTGCCTTTCCTCCTCTTGACTCCTGTGACATATAGGTTGATATCTTTAGTGAGGTCCCACAGAGCTCTCAGGCTCTGTTCATTTTCTTCCCATCCTTTGGATAATCTTTACTATGCAGTCTTCAAGTTTACTTCAAGATTCTTTGTTATGCTAGTTCAGATCACCTACTGAGCCCCTCTATTGAATTTTTTCATTGCAGTAGTTGTGCTTTTCAGCTCCAAAATTTCTATTACTTTTTTTTCTTCTTTACCATCCTCCACCCCTACTTCCAGGTCTGGGAATCACCCAGCTCCTCACACATGCTAAGCAAGCACTCTACCACTTGCACTACATCCCCAATCCCATTTCGGATGGATGGATGGATGGATGGGATGGATGGATGGATGGGATGGATGGATGGATGGATGGGATGGATGGATGGATGTTGGAAGGAAAGATAGATTAGATAGACAGACAGACAGACAGATAGACTGACTCCTATATTTGGTAAGTTGTTGTCATAATACTTTTATTTTTGAAGTATGACTTCTTCTAATTCTTTGACTAATAACCATTAACAGTGTTGCTTTCATGTCTCTTCCTGCTAAGTTTTCAATCTCGGTACCTCAAAGAATGCCTTTTGATGGCTTTTTATCCTGTTAGGCATCGCACAATTCTGTTTATAATATGAATCATGATATTTTTATTTCCTTAAGACTGAGAATCAAACCTAGGACTTCATACATGATAAACAAGTACTCCACCACTAAGCTATACCCCTAGCCATTGGCTCATTTTTTAAAATTATTTAATAACCACATAATTAGAAGAAGCATTTCATGACAACAGCATTGATGTATTCAATAACAATTACCAGAGCTAAGATGCATCTGTTTCAAAATTGGCTATAAATTTTTAGGTTTACAGTTGAATTAATGAAGTTATACAATACTGTACTCAGTATAAACCCTTTAAGACATAAAATTATATGAGGTTTTAACCTTTAAAAAAGATCTCCATTTCATTTTGTTGTTGTTGAAAACTGGACATTTTGGATAACATATTGTTGTGTACTATTCCTAGACTAGTTAATGTCACTGTTTGTTTGCTTGCTTGTTTACTTGGTGGCTTACCTGGACTAATTGTCTATTTCTACCATTGTGTGTAACCACTGATATCTCTGGTAAGTTGTTTTATTATTGTTGAGTTTTAAGCACAGATCAGCATAGCTTAGTAGGGAGCCAATGATTGTTCAAAAGGTATACTTAAGGGGCTGGAGAGATGGCTCAGCGCTTAAGAGCACCCCTAATGAATGCCATCAAAAGGCATTCTTTGAGGTACTTGGATTAAAAGCACTAACTGCTCTTACAGAGGACCTGGTTTGATTCCCATCACCCACATGGGGCAGCTAACAACTGTCTTTAACTCCAGTTCCAGGGGATCCAACACCTTCTTCTGACCTCCCTGGGCATTGCACAACATGTGTGCACTTACACACATGCAGTCAATACACTCATATACATAAGATAAAAATAATAAATTTTTTTTAAAAAAATGGTCAAGCAGGACCTTTGACTTATCTTCATATAGACATAGGTGGAACTGGTAAAAGAAAGGAGCCTGGGGCTCCTCCCAAGCCCATGTAACCCCTCAGGAACAGATCCTCAAACGACCTTAAGAGTAAACATAAATTGGCTTACCTGGAGCAACTGTATGTCCTGCAACACCCAAAAGGAAAGTGTAACCAAAGATTAAAGGGGCCAATATAATTTCATAAGAGTCCATATGTATAGCAAAATGCTACATGACAAGTAACAATGCCAGACAGGCGATACCTTCTTTTGAGTTGTTGGCCAGGGTGGCCCATGGGATCCCAGATAGTAACCCAGCATAGAACTGGGAAAATGAACAGCAGACCCCAATCTTATCTAAAAGAATATTGACAACCGATTGCTGCTAGATGAGGAACAGCTGATCTTCCTAAAAGAAAGACCTCTAGATAGGCTGACTAGATTCACCAGAAGGGCAAGTAGTTGGGAATGGCTGGGGTGCATACAAAACAGCAGACAGTAGCAGGGATGTCAGAGAATAAGGGCTCTAGTGCGGGGAGGGAGGCTATGGGAGGGTGCTATCTGGGAAGTGGGTATAAAAATACATAAATAAATTAAAAAATAATAATTCTTCAAAGCATAAAGGAAGGAAGGAAGAAAAAGAGAAAGTACAGGAAGTGAGAAAAACGTGATGGGGAGATACAGGAGGTGTTGGAGGGGAGGGAGTGGGCGTGGATTTGATCAAAAAA